CGCTTCCTCTCCCTACAGCAGCTCCGCCCCCTCGACTCGAGTCAGCACGCCTTGACCCTCCATCAGACCCGCAAAAACTCCAGACGACAGCCTCTGCCCCCAACCAGCGAGCCGTTGCCCTGGTCACTTTTCCCCTTCGTCGTGCCGCTAGCTCCGCCCGTCGTCGCCCTATGTCCCCAAACAGCGTCGTCGTCCTGCCCGTTGCTGCTCGTCGTTACCTCCTCTCCCGCTGTCCAACTACGACAACCCCTCAGATCCGTCGCCTCTACAACGACGCTGTATCAGACTCGACGACCAGCTACGCGCATCGCCGAAACAACATTGCCTCGTCCGCAGACCCGTAGCCTCGCATGGCGACGTCAATTCGTTCGACGAACCCCGAGGCAAGATCCCACTTGCTCAGAACTTAATTTTTATATTTATTAGGAATTATCTGTAATTTTAGATCTGATATATTTATCTGTGTGGGATTGTTTGATGAATAATATTAGATAAATCATAATAATATGATAATTAGCATTTTCAGAATAATTATAATGAATTAAAAGAAATTATTTTGGCAGCAAAATTATTTTTGGATAATTATATCAATTAAAAAGAATTTATTTGAGAATGAAATCATTTTAGGAAAATTATAATAATTTAAAAGGAATTATCTTGGAAAAATAATCCTTTTGGAATAATTATAATAATAATTTATTATTTTAAAAGATTATTTTTAGAATTATTGTAATGAGAAAATAACTTATTTTGAAAAAGGGATTTTTGAAAGAACTCATTTTGTAAAAGGAATTATTTTAAGTAAATAAATTTATTATTTCATAAGATTATTTTAGAATAATTTTATGATTTTTGATTCTTAATTATGTGATATGCCTTGATATTATCGTACATGATCATTCGTATTCGTTGTTTCTGGTTGTTGTGAGAACCCTTAGTAGTTCATGACTTAGTGGTTTCGTGCGTCATGAACAGACCTAGTGACATGTGTGGGTGAGTTGACTGAGTTTAGGTGGTGAACGTGAGTTTCAATGAGGATTATGGTTGACTTAGAAAAATGAGAAGAGTTGGGATGGGGAAGTCCACGTTCATGTGATCGGATATAACTGTTGATGTATCTTCCAGGCTCACCCCATGATCCAGTGTAGCTTGGGGTTAGTTTGTTGGGTCAAAGTGAAGCCAGTGTTGTCACTTTGGTCCGCGAATTTGATATTCACCCGGGTTTTGCTTGAGTTCGAACCAGGCTGAAAATGGATTGCGTGTAGCCCTCTGACCGATCCAGTGTAGCAGCGTATTGGGTGCACGTAGAGGATTTGTGAACAGTCAGTTATCTGATGATATGAGTGTTAACTCTATGTGAGATGTGGACCAGTGAGTTGAGATAGGATGACTAGTTACATGATTTGTTACCAGTGGGTCGGTGTCGTCACTGGGGTTGGATTGTTGGGTCAAGGTGAATCGGTGTCGTCACTTTGGTTAGGATTTATGGATTCTTGTGAGATGTAAATCAGTTATATTTCTTTTCATACATAGATCGGGATTAATATTTAATTATTTACAGTTCGAGACATATGGTATATACATGAGGGTTTCCTTGTTTGGATTATTTCGCTCGACGTACTACGTCTCGAGTTGTAGATTTTTAAGTATTAATTCCATCTAGTTGTATGACCTTGTTAGTTGGATTATTGTTCTGATCGCTAGCTGCATGATTTCGTTACCCGATTGATTTACGGATTCTTATGATTATCATGTTTTGGTAGTGGATTGCATGTGATTTTGTTGGATTACCAGTTGCACGTTCTTTTGTCGTTTCGGTTATCGTATCGATTTCTGCTTTAGATTTTCGTTCGTTCTTTTCTTTTATGGGGTCTTGTCGTGTGCCATGCACCCTGACGTACACCTGTTTTCTCTGGTGTACGTCAGACTTAGAAAAAGAACATGTTCAGCTGGGAGTTCATCAGGAGCCAGAGGATTCTCAGCAGGAGTGCCTTGCAGACCGAGCAGAAGAAGCCAAAGTTTAGTTATTCCCTCTTGTTGTTCGATGATCTTAGTTTACTTTTGTAGCATTTCTTTTCTGCTTGATTGATGTATTTTTGTATTTCTCCAGTATTCTTTTGTTCAGATTTGTATAAGGGTATGTTTGACCCGTATTTTATGTCATGGATAATATTCATTTGTGATATGTATTATTTTATTCTGAGTTTGTCTATTATATTCTTGCTGATTGTGATCGGGGACCTGTGACTTCGCATTGTATTTATTTTCAGACGCTTAGCGTATTGGATTGAGAAGAAAAGAAAAAGGAAAAAAGATAGTGTATATTTCTTCTCAATCTAATACGTCGCGGTCTTGTTCACGTTCCGATTCCCGGGTATTTTGGGAAGCGAGGCGTGACACAATTGTTATGACCTGAGTGATAGTTAATATTACTCAGACCTAACTCTTTGTAGTATAATATGAGTAGACATTTCTTATATATAATAATATATATAGATATATATATATATATATATATAATATATATATAATATATATATAATAGAGAGAGAGAGAGAGAGAGAAGAGAGAGAGAGGAAACTGTAGGTGAGCTGCCAGTTCACCATCTCCGTGCGCTGCATGGGCTTTATTGCAAAATACCCCGCGATTCCTGCAGCGTGAATTAAATCTCCGTGACCTCTCTCTCTCCTGAAATAAATCCTACCAACTCTCCTCTCTCTCTCTTCAGAGATCCCCAATTTCAGCCCTCCTCCTCCAAACTCGCTCATCCTCTACCGTCCTCCTCCCAAAATCGCTCGCGTCAGCCGCCGCGAGGCTCCTCGTCGCGCGCCCCAAAGACACCACACCTGATCGAGCCCTCTGAGCCGCCGCATTCGCCTGCAACAGATCCACCTGATCTCGATCTCCGCCGCGAGCCCTCTGAGCCCTCTGAGCTGTAGGTAATCCCTCTCTCTCTCGACCTCCAAAAGCTACGAGATCCCCCCCACCTCGATCTCTCGATCCCCCCACCCCTCTCTCGATCTCGATCCCCCCACCCCTCATACTCTTGTGATCTCGAGAGGTTTGAAGGTATTGCCATATCCATCCCATCTGAAATTACTTCTTGGAAAGTTGCTATGGTACTTATAGGTTTTTCTGTAAACAAGTTTAGCATATATTATGATGGTGTGTCAATGTTTCATTTGTTAACCTTTATCATTGATCTATAGGTATATTCTCTGAAAATTTGGCTGAGTTATTTAAGTTTTTTCCTATATTGAAATATAAGGGTTACCTATCAGACTATCATACAGCTAAGAATTGGTGCCATCTTGAAAGTTCATGCGCTAGCAACGTTATCTCATCTCTTAGTAGACCATTCAGACAAATAACTATCCCTGAAGATTTTTTTTTTCTCTGTTTGTTGTTTCCTCAGTGTTAATTTTATCTAAGAAATAAGTTTCCTTCAGCTTTTTCCCCTCTTAAAGTCGCAGAGACCAATACGAAGCAGTGAATTCACAAGGGAAGAGAAACAAACTTCCTGCTAGAAGATTAAAACCTATGCGAGAGGAGACTCCAAGCACAAACCCAACAATGATTCAGAAAACACAGCGCAGAAAATGTTACTAGTTTTGCTTCGTATCATCAATAGAAGTAAGAAATGGGATTTATTAGCAGAACATCACAAAAGATTTTAAAGACTAAATGGCACTTAAATTTCTTGTAGTCTACGGGTCTTTGCACTTATGTAGCCCCCTTTTTTTGGCACGTTAAGTAACTATCCTGTTGTCTTTAAAAGTATCACTTTACTATATTCTCTTTGCTAAAGTGATACTTAAGATTTTTCCATTTAAGTGGCTATTCAACATATGTTTATCAAGCTCGGTGGAATTCTTCAAATGGGTATCTGATGAAGAGAAGTTTGAAGGTTCAAAGACAGGGCTTGTTTAGACAAAGCTATCGAGCGTGAAGCCGCAAGTTTCAAGAGCCGTGTCAAGTGGAGAATTGCGGGAAAAGAGAAAGATTAAGATTGATATTATGGATTTGTTGAAGCTTGTTGTATTTGCTCTTTTATTTGGTATTTTTCTTGGATTTGTATTTAGTATTTTTATTGGATTTGTGCTAAGTAGAGTGTAAGAATGTATTATCCATGTCGCCTTTGAATGGATTTGTGTGTGGTGGCTTGAGTTATTTTTGTGGCTAAAGAGATGATGTTGTTGATTCAAAGGATTATTTATTGACCAAGACATATTTAGCCACATATTTTTGTGGCTAAAGAGATGATGTTGTTGGCTTTTATCTAGCAGCTTAGAATTTCCACTGCAATAGTGATGTTCGATGTAGTAAAATCTATGTCTATGTTAAGACGAATGAATGGTGTGGGTACATGAACGAGACAAATGATTTGACTTATCCTTATTGTTGCCAAGATTGTGGATTAGAAGACTGAGACAAGTTTTATAATTATGTCAATATGAGGGATTGATTCTTCGTCACCTGCTGTTGAGATTGCGAAAGAGAATATCATTCTTAATGAACTGGACCCAGGTAAAATCTCGTATCTCAGAGAAGATGCAACTGAATTCATGAAAGCGGCAACGTCCAGGAATGAAACATGGAATTTAGTGATTCTAGGTCCTCCAAAACTAGCACCTAGGAGAAAGGTATCATCTCAAAGCTACCAACTTCGTGCAAATTGATTCTGATTCTTAGAGATACTTACATTGTCACTATTTTCCAAATCCTGGGCTACTTAATTTAGTTTGATTACTTGTTTTTGTTATCATACAACCAAATCAGTAGCTGAAGCACTTCGAAAAAAAATGAGAAACCCGTTTTGGCACCTCGAATAGGATCCAATTTGAAGTCATAATTTGATGACTCGAAGTGGAACTTTCATGCGTACCCATCAAGCAAGCGACATTCTTATCCCCAGGAGTCACAACCTTAATTCTTAAATCATATCATGCTGCCTTCAATTCTGTTAACTAAATGCAAGAAATTGACATGCACCCAGTAAATAAGCCACAGCAAAGCTACAAGCATCATAAGCTCAAATCACACCAAAGTAGCTGAATAATCATTACAAGATAGCTGCATATGAGTAGCTGAATATAAGCCACAGCAAAGCTACAAGCATCAAACAGAGTTACATCATGAGTTACAACATCCCACTCGCGTCTCTCGCCGAAGAGAGATCTCTATCTTGTCTCTATTAGATTTATAGCCCTCCTTATCACAAACAAACTTTTTGTCTACCACTTCTCTAGTTTTACGAGAGTAATTTACCGTGCTCTTCCTTATTCCAAAACCCATCAACAATGAATAAGAGTTATAATAGTTATAAGCTTCTTCATAACTATTAAACTTCATTCCAAGTAGTGGTTTAGGATGATTTACAGTATTGGCCGCAATTCCACTTCCAATGACACTTGCTTCTCCCATTCCGAATTCTACAGTAGTTGAATTTTCTGACTCCATTCCAAACTCCTAAGGAAGAAAATAAATTCAAGAAAAACAAACTTAGTATTATAATTGTGGTTAGGAATACAAACTTAGCATTTAGATTCTAGTTATAGTAGTTACTAAAGAAAATGCCCACCAATTATTGTGAAATATTTCGAAGATCGCAGCAAGAGGGAAACCAGTTTCTTTTATCCATGACCCTCAACTCAGATAAGTTTTCTTGTTTTAATTTTGAGATATTTTAGTTTCAAGATCAGGCTCACAACTTTTTTTCCATGGAACAAAGAAAAATGAGTGTGTATGACTATTCAAGGAGTGGCCTAAAGCCATTATTGGTAATATGATACTGTAATTTAAAAACTATTGAATACTATATCCAATTAAAATAAGACAACAAAAGAGAAAAGCTGAAATCATCTTAAACGGTTAAATTCATAAAATTACCATGAACTTTGGATTTTTTAAACAAAACTAACATACTTTTCTAATGATAGCTCTGTGAATTTTTAAGAGTGAAAAATTATACAATGCTCTGTGAATTTTTTAGACTGCAAAATAATACAATGAACTGATGAAAATTTGTTGCTAACTACAACCAAGGGTTTTTCATGAAAACCATCTTCGAAAATTTGTTGCTAACTACAACATGCTGATCATAATTATACAATATTCCATCATAATAACAAGTTTTAAGCACAATAATATGCAAATGGAATAGCTAGAGAGAGGGGGAATCTCGCAGAGGAGGACGAGGAATCTCGCGGAGGGGGTGGGGAGATCGATCGATCTCGAGATCGAGAGAGGGGTGGGGGGATCGAGAGATCGAGGTGGGGGGGATCTCGTAGCTTTTGGAGGTCGAGAGAGAGAGGGATTACCTACAGCTCAGAGGGCTCAGAGGGCTCGCGGCGGAGATCGAGATCAGGTGGATCTGTTGCAGGCGAATGCGGCGGCTCAGAGGGCTCGATCAGGTGTGGTGTCTTTGGGGCACGGCGGCCGACGAGCTCGCAGATTTTTGGGAGAGGACGGCAGAGATGAGCGATTTGGGAGAGAGGCGTGATTGGGGATCTCTGGGAGAGAGAGGGTTGGGCAGGGATTGTATGTAGCAGAGAGAGTGATGGTCACGAGATTAAATTCACGCTGCAGGAATGCGGGATATTTGTTGCATAAGGCGCCATAGCAGCGATGGAGAATGGTGATCTGGAGCTCAGCCCTACAAGTTTTTCTCTCACACGAGCGTCGATCCATATGATATATATATTTTATATATTATATATATATAATAATAATGAGAGCAGAGAGAGTAACTCCTATCAGGACTTAAGTGGACGTCCACTAAGTTTCTTTATGCCATTGATGATTACTTGTTGAGCTATTAATAGATGTCCGCTCCGTTGAATTGATCTATCTATTTAAACCCTACCAGCGCAAATTTGGGTGTAACCCGTCGTTTGTTTGACCTCCTCGAGCCTGTAAAGTTCTATTCATCTCGAACCAGTTAAAGATTGAATACGGTGATGAAGGGTCAAGACCACAACAGGTTCCCCCTAATTTTGGTGTGGTTTGGGGTTTTAGAAAATTATGTAGCAATCAAGTTGCACGGAGCGGATCTCTACATGTAGTTCAATTCAGGTAACATGAAATGGATAAGAAAACTTAGTGTAGCGTCCTTAAGTGATAAGTTTTACTATATATATATATACGTATATTTTTATATATATATTATATATATAGTATATATTATAATTATATAATTATATATAGGAGAGAGAGAGAGGAGAGGAGAGAGAGAGAAGATTATTTATGTAGAGATATGGTCCACTAGAAGTGAACGCACGTCTGAAAAACAAAATCAGAATATACTCTTCATCACTGTAGTGGGACCTCAGTAGCTTTATAGAAAAATTTGTGCCTCACCTTTTTGGTAATTTTCCTTTATTTAATTGATCATTGAGACTTAATTATTATTTAGTTTGTTTGCACCTAGGTACTTTACACCTTGTCCTTGTACTAAAACCTCGTTTACGACAGAATTGTTATCTATATTCGAAAGATCTCCTCCAGATATGAAATTGTGAATATTGCCTATCAAAGGTTGGTTTAGAGATGCACTATTATGCATGAAAAATGCTATTAATACATGGTTTGAAGACTAACCATTTATTTTACTCAAGAAAAATTCCCTAAGGATCTAAAATATGGGACAAACGGAGGGGACATGTGAGGTGTCTCCCTCCTGTTGCATAATGAGCTGGTCATCATTAATGATGACCAGCTCATTATGTAACAAGAGGGGGATACCTCACCTGTCTCCCCTGTTGATCTCATATTTTAGATCCCTGTAACAAAGCTCTTTACTCAATTCAGCATATTAGCATCTTTAGATAGCGTTCAAATCCTAGTGGAAAATACAAAGAAATTACTTGATTCAAACTAATTGATTATTCGATGAGCCTAATCAGTGCAGGAGGAGGCAGGGATTACAATTATGTTTTGGAAAATGATTTAAGGACCCAAAATATGGGACTAATGGAGGGGACAGGTGAGGTGTCCCCTCCCTATTGCATAATGAGTTGGTCATGCCAACTCATTATGCAATAGGGAGGGGACACCTCACCTGTCCCCTCCCTTGGTCCCATATTTTGGGTCCCCGTAGAAGCACTCTTATGTTTTATCTTTTTGTGTGTGCGCGCTTGTTGGGTTGGGTTGGGTTGGACTTTTCGTTTCTTTCATTCATTCTTTTTTTTTTTTGGAACTTGTTCATTCTCTTAAAATAAACTAAAAAATTATATCAATAATATATTTGAATGTAGCAAAAAGGCATTGAGTGGGAATCAACTTTAACTTCTTGTTCTCCTTATATATAATTTATCATGAATAAACATAAATTTAATACATATTTAGCATTTGATTGAAACACATTTGATTTTAAAGTATAAAATTTATAATAGTTGAAAACGATTTTCTCCATGTAATTTATATATAATTTTTTATTTCCTTTTTGTAATCTATGATTTTCTTCCAACTAAATTCTCTATAGTATTTGTTGTAGAATTTTATACAAAATGTCAATTAATTTTTTTATATTTGTGCTGCCCAAACATGAAAAATATAAAGACAATATTTAAATTAGACCACTTTTAAAACTTAATTAGCAAAATAGTCAGAAAAAGTATTTAATTAGCAAAATAAACCATTTTTGTTAAATGTTAAATGTCAAAATTGGTCTATTTCAAAATTTTATCAATTTCAAAATTATTTTGTTCATAAAAAATTGTAAATATGATTATATATATAAATTATGAAAAGTTGCATTTGATGCAATTATAATTTTCTAATTAATTGTAAAAAGTAAGTTTCTAAAAAAAGCCTTGGAGTAAATTTATTTGTGCATAGTTCTTGTAGAAAGTGTTGTGTTGTAGTTAACATCAGGGCCGGTTGAAGGCATAGACCACTAAGGCAAATGCCTAGGGCCCCAAAAAATATATTCTTTATATTATATGTGTGTGTGTGTGTGTGTGTGTGTGTGTGTGTGTGTGTGTGAAATATGTGTATGCTTGGTACCAAACATAAATTTTGTGCTTGGTAGTGAGGTGGCACAATCACCTCCACTCATTCAAATAGGGGACCACATTCACATGAGTTGAGAAGTTCATGGGATATGTAACCATTTGAATGAGTGGATGAGTATTGAGCATCGTGCGAATGCGTGCTCGACAATCAAACGAATCGGCGAGCAATGAGAGAAGAGAACCAAATCCAAACACGAGTGAAATTCACAAAATAACGACCAAAATCACACACAAACATATGAATTTACGTGGTTTGGCAATTGACTACGTCCACAGGGAGATTTTCCTTCGCCAATTGAATTATTTTTGTATGTTTTACTGTCTTCTTCTCAAACACACATTTGATAATTCCGTGATCAAAGGTGCTCACTCGGCGACTCGTATCAATCACAAACAAACTTTCTGTCTAGCACGTCTCTAGTCTTGCAAGAGTAATTTATCGTGCTCTTCCTTATTCCAAAACTCATCAACAATGCATAAGAAATATAATAGTTATAAGCTTCTTCATAAGTATTAAACTCTATTCCTAGTAGTGGTTTAGGAGTATTTTTAGTATTGGCCGCAATTTCACTTCCAATAGCACTTGATTCTCCCGTTCCAAACTCTACACTAGTTGAATTTATTTCCTCTATTCTATAAGGTTAATGTACAATGAATTATAACAATGTTGATACTGGCTAATATACATTTCAAAAGTTCTTGCATCATTACCTTCCAACATTGTTGGTCATTGTGAAAGGCATAACACTACTTCTGGTATTGCTGCCAACATGGACATTATCGTTGTTGTGATTTATGCTTGTTCTGTAGGACATCAAAAAAAGTATTCTGTAACAAGCACAATGAATAAAATAATTTTTTGTCTAAGAGAACATATCACATTACTAGCAGGTCATGTGGAAATACATGGATGATATTAATGGCACCATGAACTTTGCTTTTATAATGGACAACACCAACTATCATAGAAACGTTTTTCAGAAAAAAATTATTTGAGTACCAGTTTCACAATGCTACTACAGAAATACCTCATTTGGGCATCAACATTCCACGCATTTTGTAGAATGTGAGAGAGAGGGATCGAGAGAGCAGAATGAGAGAGACGGAAATCTCATAGTCGATAATCGTGGACAGAGAGAAGGATCGAGAGAGCAGAATTAGAGAGAAAGAAAGAGAGAATACTCGTAGCCGATAAGCGTGGACGGAGAGAGAAATCGGAGAGGCAGAATGAGATCAAGAGACGAGATCGAGAGAGAGAGAGAGAGAGAGAGAGGAGAGAGAGAGAGAGAGAGAGAGAGAGGAGAGAGAGAGAGAGAAGAGAGAGAGAAGAGAGATTTTACCTGCGTCGTGGGAGTTGGCTCGGCGGGGAGGCAAGGGATTGCACCGGAGTTGGCTCGGGGAGGGCTTGACTAGGGCTTGATTTGTTGATTTCGAAATGCAGCACTCTTCATTTTGGGGAGGCCTTTCGTTTTGGGGGCTGAGAGGTCACGGGTGCTGGTGTAAGGGTCTTAGGGAGGGGACAGAGGGCTCATGTAAATTTAAAATGTTTTTTAAATCAACCTTCCTCATCTGGAACGAATCATAGGCTGGCCCCTGTAATTGTAGTCTCACAGCCATAAGCAACGCGCCCAGTGCTTCTACAGTTTCCTCATATATATATATATATATATAATATATATATATATATATTATATAGTATATATATATATATATATCATATATATATATATATATAATATATATATATATATATATATATATATATATATATATATATATATAATATACTATATATAATATATATAATATATATTATACAACAGCACACACACACAACACAACAATGACGCACGCACACTAGTGTGCACGCTCGTGCAGAAAGCGACTAGCCTCCTTTTTTTTTAATTTTTGCTACAATAATTTATATTATTAAATAGCAATTTTGTAAGTACTACCAGTAACATTTTTTAAAGCTACGGTATCCCGCCTTGAGGCTAACAATAATAATGCCACACTAATTTATTATAACATGAATGGTGCATGTTGAATACTCACGCTTCTTGCATAACAATGTACAATAATTACTGTAGAACTTTTACTCTTGGATCTCTCCATTATTATTTTAGATTATTTATATATATAATATATATATATATTATATATATATATATATTATATATACATATAGAGCAAAACTTCTATGTCAACTTAAGTGGACGTCCACTAAGTTCTTATCCATTGATGATCACTTGATTGAGCTACATTGTGGATGATGCCGCTACCGTTAAAACTTGATCTAGCATATTCTAAAACGCCCAAGCACACCAAATTTTTGGGGTGAACGTCGTTGTGGATTTGACCCTCCGTCGAGCCATGTAAAGAAGTTCTATCACTTCGAGAACGGCGTTATAAATTGATACGAGTGGATGCAGGGTTAAACTACGACGGGTTCACACCCAAATT